GGATAAGTGAATGAGAGAGCTGACTATTATCATTAATGAAGTGGATAAGTGAATAAGAGAGCTGACTGTTATCATTAATGAAGTGGATAAGTAAATGAGAGAGCTGACTGTTATCATAAATGGAGTGGATAAGTGAATGAAAGAGCTGACTATTATCATTAATGGAGTGGATAAGTGAATGAGAGAGCTGACTATTATCATTAATGAAGTGGATAAGTAAATAAGAAAGCTGACTGTTATTATTAATGAAGGTGGATAAGTGAATGAGAGAGCTGACTGTTATCATTAATGAAGTAGATAAGAGAGCTGACTATTATCATTAATGAGGTGGATAAGTGAATGAAAGAGCTGTCTGTTATCATTAATGAGGTGGATAAGTGAATGAAAGAGCTGTCTGTTATCATTAATGAGGTGGATAAGTGAATGAAAGAGCTGACTATTATCATTAATGGAGTGGATAAGTGAATGAGAGAGTTGGCTATTTTCATTAATGAAGTGGATAAGTAAATAAGAAAGCTGACTGTTATTATTAATGAAGGTGGATAAGTGAATGAGAGAGCTGACTGTTATCATTAATGAAGGTAGATAAGTGAATGAAAGAGCTGACTGTTATCATTAATGAGGTGGATAAGTGAATGAAAGAGCTGTCTGTTATCATTAATGAAGTAGATAAGTGAATGCATCAACAGAGCCGCTACTACCCAAACACGGCTGGGCGGACAATCGTTACCTAAAGTTGTAGGATCTAGGGAAACTCTGGTTGGGGTTCAGGTTTACTTCCTCCGGTGTATAATTTTGCTCACATCAAGTTCTATGATACCGCAACCCAGGCACAAAGCTGCCCAACAGTAACATATAGTCCAACTTTTTACTAATTTGAGTTAATCAACATGAACTGTGGATGAAAGGCAACAGAAATTTTGTTGCATTGCACGTGATGATGATGATGATGATGATGATGATGATGATGATGATGATGATGATGATGATGATGATGATGATGATGATGATGATAGTGATGATGATGATGTAAAACGTTCCGTCTGTTAATCCCACTTAATAGTCACTAGTACTTGCGCTCTTCCAGCACGCTCAGACAATAAAGGTTTATTTACTCAAGAACTTTCAGCACTTTCTGGATGAAAATACACAGAAAATATTATTCCGACACTATGTCCAAATACATATCCACTATTGTTCGACATTTGTTGATGGTTGCTTCAAATCTAATGCTAAATGATTGTGTTTTCTTCAAAATCACGCTCTGCGCATAGCTTCCGAGAGAAAACATAGATAAAAGTCATCTCTATTGCCATCTAAGACTTTCACCATTTAGTAAACAGTTAGAATTTTTAACAAAGCCAAATTTGTTCACAAAATCCTTTCTAAAATATATTCTAAATAATTTTTTTTTCGTTTGATTGATTCATGTATGCATTTTTGTATGTACAGGTGTTTGTGTATATATGGTTAGGTTTGAGTGTGTGAATGCGTGGTTATGTGTTAGAGTATATGTAAGCATTTTTATGTATGTATGAGTGTGTGTATACTTGAATGTGTTTTTGTAGGAATGTGTGTATGTATGAGTGTATGTAAGAGTGTATGTAAGAGTGTTTTTTCTATTAAAAGGTATGAGTGTGAGTGCATGAATGCGTATGTATGAGTGGAAGTGTATTCTGTGTTTGTATGTAGGTATGTGCATGTATAACGGTGGGTGTATAGATGTGTATGTGAAAGTGTATATGTAAATAAATGAATATATGTATGTATGCATTAGTGCGTGTCTCTGTGGATAAATAAATGTATATGTATAAGCATGAGTGAGCGTATATTTATGATTGTGTGTGAAGGTATGAATGTGTGGGTATGTATGTGCATTTATGAGTGTGGGTAAGTGAGGATATTTAAGAGTGGCTGTGGTGTTAGCATGTGTCTTTATGAGTGTGTGTATGTATATGTGAGTAGGAATGTACATGTATGAATGTGCATGTATTAATATTCATGTATGAATATGCATGTATGAATGTGCATGTATGAATATGCATGTATGAATGTACATGTATGAATGTGCATGTATGAATATGCATGTATGATTGTGAGCGTATGTACTATAGCTGTATATGTATGAGTGTTTGTGGATGTATAAATGTATATGTGTATGTTGGTAGGTAGGTATGGGTGTATGAATGTATGTGTGTGTATGTATTATGTATGTATATTTGTATGCATAAACCACCCATGCACTTGTATATTCATATTATGTGCATTGTTATGTGAACATAGCATACTGTACAGATAAAATACAATTGCTTTGTGAAAAATGAATGTTTGGAAGGACCGAATGTAAGCTCTTTGAAAGTAATATTCGTTGGTTGTTTCGTTCTGTGTAGGCTTTTGCTACATACCCAATATTGTAAAATAGTATGGCTATTTACGTGGCCCCATTCCACGAAGTTGTACATTAACATATGCATGTCCGTCTCTCTACCGAAATAACATCTTTGTCTTAAAATCTTCATATTTAGCAATAGAAAACACGTGGTCTCCCTCTCCCTAGTTTAATCATGGCCTCATAGAAAGACAACTTGCTTTCCTGGGGAAACAACATATACAATCGTCACGTTGAACAAGCCTTCCCATGGGGGGGGGGGGGGGCTTTAGGTTATAATTGTGACAAGGTTATGTGCGCTATATAAAATGGCTTTGCATTGCAGGCCACCAAGAGTCCTGAAAAGGACTCCTCAGTGATTATGCAATCGAAGGAGACAGAACCAACTACTGTTCTGACCATCGACGAAGTTATCTGCCGGCGAGCCAATGAGCGACCCGGTCGCTGATTAAAGGACAACTTCCATTCTACAGCTAGACCCGCGGAGCCGTTCTGATTGGACAACAACTCAGCTCAAACTAACAAGTCATTCGCTGCTTTCCGACAAGTTTTGGTATGACTACGTCGATGTTGAAAACAAACGTTCACTTTAAGGCTTTGTTGTGAACACAAGTTTCGGAGATGTTTTCCGTTGCTGTTCCAATCCGTATCTGCATCACTTAATGGGCCTCATACATTCTTCGCGTGGTGATCTTCTTGTACCTATTCTTCCACTTAAATCGGGCCGCGTTAGCGCAGTCGATAGGAGACTCGCCCTTCAAATCCAGCTGCGATTCGCTGCAGCCCACTGCCGGTGTTCGAAACCGGATGGTTCACGAGGTTTACCCAGCCTCTAGGAAATGGGTGCCAGAGTTAACACTTTATGGTAAATAGAGGAACGTCACTGTAGCTACAGAGTTGCGTGCGGACGGCGACACAGGCGGACAGTTTCTTATCAGCTGTCCGTACTGGTGGCAGAGCACTTATGGTTTATAACCGTGTGCAATGACTCTGGTTCCCATCTCCCAACTTTATCCTTTACCTTCCACTGAAATCACCCATCACAGTTAGATCCTCCAGCTCATTCACAGTGGTTGTTTAAAATGTCGACAAATATCGAAGTATTTTATTTTCTGTCTTTTCCACTGCAACTGTCGTTACAAGGAGCACAAGCCTGTACAATCATCGTTGTTCTAGAAACCTCTTTGATTTCAATTAGCATTATTCTCTCTGATATATATTTAACATGGATGATGTTTCTTGCTGTTTCGGGGTGAATTTAAACTTCATGTTTAGCTGTCGCTCATTGTTTGACACCGCTTCATAACAGAAAATAATTCGCATGTATTAGTTTCGTACTCTGTCGCTTATTCACGAATTCGCCAATCCCAGTATTTGAGTATTTGATTTCTTCCTGAATGCCACTAACTCTGGTGGTTCTTTGTTGTCCACATCACAAACATTCCAAGTTCCGAATATCTTCATTATGTTTCTTTTTTTTTTTCGCTTGCTGTCGTCGTTAGTTTGTTGACGATACACCGTTTTAATTAACTTTCTAGAATAACAACTAACACTTGTATGTTTAATAAAAAACAATATTTAATTGTCATTATTTTTCTACTCACTCACTCTCTCTGTCTGTCTGTCTGTCTGTCTCTCTCTCTCTCTCTCTCTCCCTCTCTCTCTCTCTCTCTCTCTCTCTCTCTCTCTCTCTCTCTCTCTCTCTCTCTCTCTCTCTCTTATGTTCTGTCTTCTGCCTGCTATCGCTCTCCTTAATAAGAATTCTTTTGGAATACAAACACGTGTATTTTTAATTAAAACTTTTTTTTTTCATTCTTATTTTTTAATCACTTTTATGTTCTATTCTGTTTTCTGTCATAGTGTCATACTATGACTATTGTGATTCTATAGAATTATGCAACTGAAATATTTTCACACAGAGACGATCTAAATGTTTCAGCACAGATAGTACAACAGACATAAATAAATAGGCAGAGGACCCTTAATGTCGTAGATACAAACAATAAATATACACAAGAACTGATCGGCACTCATAGAAAGATATAGAGAGATAAGAGGACACACTAGACGACATAAGAATCAAAAGCTATAGTTGGCATACCGGGAATTGAACGTGTCACCTCCAGGTGACGACCTCGTCTCGCCGCAGTAACAAGTAAACTTACACGCATGACCAGATTTTGTTTTGTTTTAGTATCCAGAAGCCATGAGTTGTTAACCCTTAGGCTCGGTATTATGGATATCGCAACCTTTCGGCCTTGATTCCATTGTAAATACCGTAAATCTGGGAGAAATGTGGCTTTTCTGCCTACCCCCGGGAGTGAACAGCAATGAGTTCGTCACCCGCTCACCGCGCAATCCGGTTTAGCCAACTACGCTAGAGAGCCGGGCGCACGACCAGATAGTACAAGCTGGTAACAGGGCACACTGCGGCACGGAACAAACTCTGGGTTGATACATGGTGATAACATATAAGTTTTACAGTCATGTTATTAGTTCTGAATGAAATAACGGCATTTCTATGTATCTCCTGTTTGTATGCCTAATAATAACTTTTACTGCCATATTGTATTCAATCGTTATTACATATTCCGTGTTTTCTCCACTACAGGCGAGATGTTCTTAACTTCCTTCTGAACAACCCCAACCAGACATACGACCCCAGGGTTCCGCCTGATTATGAAGAAGGTAAATATGAGAATCGTGTGTGACATCTATATAAATAAAAATCAATGTGTGTGTGTTTGTTTGCCCCCTATAGACTCGGAAACTACTGAACCGATTTAGCTGAAATTTTCAGGATATGTTTGTTTTGATACCGGATGTTGAACCATCATGGTTTGAAATTCAACCTGTCACTGTAAGAGATAGGTGACCACAATTTAAGAGATAATATTCGAAACTAATATTTATAATTTTAGTGATTTCTAATTATAGCCACGTTAGTAATTGCGCATGCGCCGTAGTAACCATTCGCCCGCAAATTACGTGCAGCCAACGCCTTCTCTAATACATAGAGTAGTTCGTGGTACAGCAAACAAGACTATCTCTATATTTGCCACAATAACCATATTAAACACGATTTCTATTTTCTGTTTTTTTTTTTTCAAACAACCTTCGATTGGGGGGAAGAGGGGGGGGGGGGGCAATCAAGGACTATTTCGACGTCGGCGCAGACAGTGACTTCGACATTAACTTCATTAACCGTGTTAGACATGTGCGATTTCTATTGTTGTGTCGTTTTATTAATATATCTGGAGTATCTGTCTACGAGAAAACAATTGCCTGCGGTTTTGAATTGTGTTTTAATCGAGACACAGTAGTAGGGACACACATCTCTAATAGTTAAGTTCTCTTTTCGTTAATCCAAATGAGTGGCTGATTAGTCGAATGGTTAGAACACTGGGTTCCTGTGCGGGAGACCTGGGTTCGAATCCGCAGTAGTTAATTTTTTTTTTTTACCCCGGACTAAAATAATATCCCTATCTGCTCTGTCGTGGTGACACCACTAGCCATGTTGCCTTAATATTTAAAAAAAAAAAAGACAAGTAAATGGGTAAACCATTTGATAATTAAATTTGACCATTTTACATACTTATGATTGCATTTTTAAACTTTCCGATTGCATGGTTACGCTGAAATTTCATAGATTTTCATTTATTTTCATTTAGATTTAGTTATTTCATCTGCGTTGGAATTTTAAGCTGGGCTGTTTACCATGGCGTTCATTTCCTAATTATGGTGTTTTTTTCCTGTGTTCATTTGCTTTTCAAGTGTTGTTTTTTTTTCTCCCAACTACTTCAATGAGGGAAAGAGTTGTCGGTGAATTTGGGGGGGGGGGGCAAACTATTTACTGAGAGAGCTTTAAGTCACAGTAACTGCTTTACCCACTTAAAGTAGCAGTAATAGTTGTGGTTGGGCTGTTACACCATAGTGCTCTCATGTGAAGGCCGCCGGTAAGGTTATGGCGTTCTTCTGTCGGGAAGTGAAATTATACATCCTAACCTGACCAGTCTGTGGCGACAGCACTAGCCATGCGGAACCAAATCTTCTTGCTCACGACTCTCTGTCTACTCCGATGGTAACAGCGATAGCAGTGACATTATTTTAGCTACTGTGGTGGCGGTCGTGGTAGTAGTTGTACTGGTACTTGAAGCATGATGTGGTAAATATTACACTAGCCCCATTCACTACCTATTACAATTCCTGCTCCCCATTTTAGTTCGGATGGACAATGTCAGTTACACGAACAACAAAATATCGCCAGGTAATGATTTTCAAATATTTCGAAGAGGGAGAGAGCAGTAGTCGGTGGAAGAGGGGAGGGGAGGGGGCAATGACTTAAATTTAAGAGAACTTAAAGAGCTTTACGCGTGATTTTCAAGTTCTCATTACCTAATTTGTTTATATTTTACTAATGCTACCTCCGCTTTTCTATTTTTTACGACTTACTTTGTTATTTACAAGTACAGTTGTAGCTTTACTTCCGTCTCCTATAAAAATACAAACAGCTTTAGCATGTGATAACCAAATAACAATTTTTGTTACTGTGCTAATAACACCATTTAAACGACCACTAATATAAGGACACAATTATAAGGTGCGTGTTCTAAAGTTGGAAAACCAGACCATCTCTTTATCTGTGCAGAGAATGATTGGTCCATCAACTATATTAGACACGTGCGATTTCCATTGTCTTTCTTTTCCAAAAACCTTTGATGAGGGAGAGAGTAGTAGGTGGATTTAGTTGTGGTGGTGAGGGGGGGCAGGGATCAAAGACTATCTCTATATCTGAGCAGACAATGATTGTATTAGACACGTGCGATTTCTATTTTCTTTCATTTCCATTTAGTGAAACTATGCCACAGCAACGCGTGGCCAGGTACAGCTAGTACAGTATAAAATCTTGTTCATCATTAACGCAGGGGATGTTCAATAGACACCACTCACTTTCACCTCTTTCCCTTTCTTGATTTCCTCTCTTTCTCTCTAAATATTTATGACTGTCTGTCTGAATGTCTGTCTTTGTGTCTGTCTGTTTGTCCGTCCGTCCGTCCGTCAGTCTGTCTGTCTCTCTGTCTCAGTTTCTAATTGTTGTTGAAGTCAGTGACATTCAGTCATATTTTTACAAGGTTTCAAATATAATACACGTTTTACTGAATTCGGTTTAATTCTCTCCCAAAGCTCAACATGAGCAATTCTGGCATGCCATTTGATTCCAAACATAAAATGCACAGAGACTGATTAGCGATGTCTGTCGTTTTCTGGGAATTGTTTTTTTTTCGCTCTCCACACAGCAGCAATGATTTAACGTTATATTTCAGTGTCCCGAATTTGGTCCTAGTTTTGATTTCCGACCACTTCCGCGCCTTTGTCTGCCCGTTGTACATCTCTACCAACTACTGAACATAAAGTTGGCTCTGTAAATAGTACGCAGCTAACCAACATGTGTCTTCCTTCTTCTCCGTCTGCATCTACCTAAATAGGTGTTAACTCATCTCTTAATATGAGATTTCAGCAAGAGGGACTGGGTTCTCGATTGCCTAGTTTATTCTCATTATTTTTGTCTTTCATTTGTGGATTTTTATATATAATTATAATATTATAAATCAACGAAAACTCTAGACACAAAATTAGACAGTTTTGAAAATAAATGCCTTAGAAGAATACTAAATTTCAAATGGTCAGATTTCCGAACCAATACACAAATAAGGCAAGAATCCAGGCAAGAGTATGTGTCTAATTTTATACGAAAACGCCGCTGGAACTATGTCGGCCACGCCCTTAGAATGGATAAATCAAGACTTCCTTACCAAGCCCTCATTTGGACACCACAGGGGAAAAGATCTCGTGGAAGACCAAGGGAACCCCTACGTAGAACTATCATCAGGGAAGGCTCGCTCATGGGCCACTCAAACATCCCAGACCTACAACGGATTGCAACGGACCGCCGTGCATGGAGAGTCGCGACCTCTGTCCTATGTGCCGCACTCGACACAAGAGGAAAGACTAACTAACTAACTAACTAACTAATAGATAATTGTGATCCATCATCCAATATTTTTCATTTGTGTTTTAGCTAATTTTTAACAGCTAATTAACGACTTTCGTATTCACTCCCTCTCCCTCTCTCGCTGTCCTAATGTCTGCCCTCCCTTCCTCAAGACACACACACACATCTCTCTCACCATTGTAAAGTCATTCTTAAAAGGCGCATATGCTGTCCGGAAGTGGTTTTAATGTGTGGCATCCGTCTCTCTCTCTCTCTCTCGCTCTCTCTCTCTCTCTCTCTCTCTCTCTCTCTCTCTCTCTCTCTCTCTCTCTCTCTCTCTCTCTCTCTCTCTCTCTCTCTCTCTCTCTCGCTCGCTCTCTCTCTCTCTCAAATGTGTTTAGTGAAAACGATACGCTACAAACTAAACGTTCGACTTTATTTGTCTAAGGGTCCATCTCTGCTTCTTCGTCTTCTTCGCGTTCGACCGGCTGTAAACTTCGGCTGTAAACTCCGGCTGTAAACTCCGGCTGTAAAGTTTGGTTGTTCTCCCCACTCTAGACTTAAATCGTGCGCCAGAATCTGAGTGTTGCGTGCACATCCGTTTTACTGACTTATTTGTATGCAGACTGAAGGTACCTTGTCTAACAGGCAGAAACGTAGACTTCGAAGAAGCCCCACAATTAATCCACTCTTACGGCATGCTTATTAGGATAGGCACTGTTTTTATTCTTGTCTCCCCCCTAATGAGGCCCCGGAATCAACACGGGGACATCCTAGATCCTAGAGGTCATGTACTTTTTGTGTGTGCTTAAATATGTGCTTTATCAGCATATACATAAATGAAACAAAACCACACGATAACACTTAACTTGTGTACCCGAAGCAGCCACGCTGATGTCTTCCAGTACAATGAAAAGACACATGTGGCCCAGGGATAAATATTCCAGGAAATATTCACTAATTTCATCTATTTCAAATAGGGATGATAGGATTTTTATTTTTTTTATTTTTTTTTTTGTGCTTTTATACCAAACGTTGAGTCTATATGTTTAAAATTAGAAGTCACCCACGTAATATTTTCCTATAACTGCTTTGCCTGTCTTCTCTCAGTATAGCAAGTGAGGTTTTTTTTTCACAAGTGATCTGTATCTCTCATCAGAAATAATGGTGTAGGAGTAGTGAATGTTCATCCAGCTCAGTCATCTTAAACCTGGGAGCGCTCTATTAGGGGGCGCTCTGCTAGGAGATGTTTTACTTGGGAGCCCTCTGCTAGGAGATGCTCCATTAGGGGGCGCTCTGCTAGGAGATGCTCCACTACGAAGCGCTCTGTTAGGAGATGTTTTACTTGGGGGCCCTCTGCTAGGAGATGCTCTACTATGGGGCGCTCTGCTAGGAGATGCTCCACTAGGGGGCGCTCTGCTAGGAGATGCTCCACTACGGGGCGCTCTGCTAGGAGATGCTCCACTAGTGGGCGCTCTGCTAAGAGATGCTCCACTACGGGGCGCTCTGCTAGGAGATGCTCCACTACGGGGCGCTCTGCTAGGAGATGCTCCACTACGGGGCGCTCTGCTAGGAGATGCTCCACTACGGGGAGCTCTGCTAGGAGATGCTCCACTAGGGGGCGCTCTGCTAGAAGATGCTCCACTTTGGGGTGCTCTGCTAGGAGATGCTCCACTACGGGGCGCTCTGCTAGGAG